TTAAAATAGGAAAAGTAAAGCACTAATAACGTAGCAAGAGATAACCACAATGGTTTGGGATTTAGATAACAAAGGTTGAGGAACATGACAGCACTATACTGATTTCCCACAGTGGCTACATTTTAACTTCTGGAAAATTGCCATTTAATTAGCTAAGAAACAGAAAAACTTATTAGCTAATTAATTGCTGCCAAAGGATCCCCAAAAGCAAAGACCATACATACCTTTCTTCAGTGCATTCCTGTTTCTCAGTTCCATCAATTTCAATTTCTATCAACTCCTCTGCCTCTCTCTTAGTCATGGCTGCAATGTCTTAAGAACAGTGCTATGAACAGAAAGGAATTTTTTCTGTAAGTCACAGACCAACAAGACTAGACAATGTTTTGTGTCATATCACAGATATTTTAAATCAAATACCAGAATAGCCTTTTAAAGCCAAGAATTCATCTAAAAAACAAATCCAAAAGCTAATACAGATTTCACAAAAGATATTACTATACCTGTCCTCAAACAAATGTTCTAGAAGCAAACATGGGATTATTAATATATTTGCACAGAGCCCAAAGCCTGATTCTCTTGGAGGCACCCAAATTTATGGATTTTTTTTTTTTTTGCTGTTGCCACAGGCCACCTACAGCAAAGCACATCTGAAAATTCAAACTACCTTCCTAGCATGGCTGTAGAAATTTATAAATTTAAGCAGCATTTTACATGAAATGCTGAAGAAGGCAGGTAGGGAGAAGGTCCATTATTTCTTCATAGATAAATAAAGTCAACAACTAAGTGTTTGTTGACTATCTCATTTTTCCACCCATGCCTCCCACAGGTGAATGGTTGATGACATGAGCACAATAAATGTATCTTGTGAAGTCCCAAACTAAAGCAGGATGTTGGTAATGAAAGGAAAAGCCATTCTGTGATGACATTTTCACTAACACTGCAGATTTTCATTCATATAGAACACTGGAGTCTGTTGGGAACATAAGCAGGAAACAAAGAATTACAGCATTTGGTCTGTAAAGACACAGTATGTCTGGTATTACTGTTTTTCACTAACTAGCACATATATCATATATGAAATACATATGATAAAAACCAGGCCAAATTATATTAACAGTTTACAATAAATAACATCATGAACTCACAGTAAAAGAAGCAGGAAGCAGAAGTACAGAGGAAAAAAAAAACCCTGGAGAAAAAGCAAAAGATGAGTATTATTTACACATCCAAAATAGAAGAGGTCACCAAGATTTCCATCCTGGAATTATCCTTTCCCAGGTACTACTCTATGTCAAACCCAACTGTTAGTTCGAGTATCTACTGGAGACAAGATAATAAGGATATGTATTAATCTTTAGAACTTCTCAGAAGTAATAGCAGCCAACTATGTTTTACAGCTGCTACATAAACTGTCTAAAGAAATTCAAACTACTCATCATCTCCTCCAAAAACTATTTTGTAAGACCAGTTGTGAATAAATCAAGTGCTGCACGTGGTTCATTCTGTAAGAAGCTACCAAGGTTAGGAAGTAAAAAATCACCTTATCAATATCTCACCACTAGAAGCAAACACAGACCTCATTCACAAATCTGGCTCCATGAAAATCTCCACTGAATAGGGCTCCAGGACTCCAATTCCTGTATCACTTAATCTTGCCTAAAAGGGAAAGACTGAAACACAGCTTCTGAAGAATGCAGAAAGGCTAAAATATCTGAATGCACTGACACCCGCATGGTTACAGGTGATCTATCGGACTGTTAAAAAATATTTCAAAACCAAGATTTGAGCAATGTCTCTTACTGAAAACTCCCAAAGAAGCAAACTGCTGTGATTAAAAAAGGGGTGAATGTCTTTTCTGTATAAGCAATCAGATTAAAAACACAAAACAAAGGTAAACTGTCTTTTTTTCTTTTTTTTTTTTTTTGTGATGAAGGGAGTTTACCAGTAAGGTCACAAAGGGGTTAGGCTGGTATTTCTGTTCTTTGACATATTCATGTTATTCACTGAGAAAATAGGGCAAACTGACAGAAAGAACGCACCACCCTGATAGATTTCTGGCAGAAAATATTCCAAAATGCAGTGATGCAGAGTGAGAAAATATTACTGCCCATAGTAACACTATGGAATTAGATAAGGCATTTAAAAGTCCCTATGGATTGGACTCCAAACTGGCAGCTGGACTAGTAACTGTTCACAGCCTCTTCAAAAATAGTTCGTGGTTGAATCTCTCAGGCTTTGCTATATTTTCAGATTCCTGGAGGGGCAGAACAGACGAAGCCAGGCACAAAGAGCAGGTACACAAAGAGGAAGAAAGATGGTTCTGCTGAGCACAGATACAAAGAAGGGAGATGGGTATAAAGAATAACAGCATAATGTAAACACATAAACTCATTAAAGTTCATAGAAGCCTAAAGGGGAAAACTATTCAGTCTTCCCTACACTATCATAAAGAGACTTTTTATTATATAAATATTTCACACGAAGTCTAGCAGTTTGTTCCTACAGGATGATGCAGAGTTTGAAAGTGAACATGGGCTCAGATGGGGCTGAGCTGCCTGACCCTTCCCTGACGGCTACTGAGAGACAAGAATGCTCAAAGAGACTGGCTTGCCTGGAGGGCTCATGTGACAGGAACACTGAAACAGCAGCATTTGTACAAAGGAGCATAAAAACTGTGGTTGATTCCTGTTAAGGTTCAGCCTACTGATTTCTGCTTGTTTCTACTTTTTCCTTCAACCTAACACGCCCTAAGATTTACCTGTTAGCCAAGAAGAAATCTGACCTCCTCTAACATACAATAAGGCACCTGCCAACAGAGCCTTTTTCCCTTGTGTGACAGTCCAGTGCTACTCCAGTATCTTTTACAGTAAGGAGAGTAGTTCCTTTGTTCTGATTAGGATCTATCTTTTCCTTAGAACACAAGGAGTTAATTAAGGAATGAGCCCACTGTGAAATGGGCACAAACTCTCTGAGTAGAATTATGTTTGCTATCTCACCATCTCCCCAGGTAATTGTGAAATGGGGTCCAGTTCTGGAGCTCATAGACATAATCAGCTGATACTGAAGCCCAGTCACTGGAGTTAGCCGTGCCCCAGAGAAGCTCTGGTGTGTGCAGCACATGGTTTCTATCCATCAGTTTTATCCAAACTATGAATACTAACACGAAGCAGATAACAAAGCAGATAACCTGTCCTTTACAGATTAGCTTTTACAACTCATTAGTCAGTTCAGTTTTATGATGGAGATAGCGAAGCACTGAACAGGGTGGGGATAAGTCACACCAGATTTGATGTGATTATCTTCCCTATTCACAGCTTGAAGTGAGAAAATACAATGAAACTAGGAGCTGTGGCTGTGCAGCACCTGGCCAAGCATTAGGAAGCAAACTATGCAAGATCATGGGATCAATTAGGTTGGAAAAGACCTTCGAGATCATCATGACTGAACACCACTTCAACTAGACCATGGAACTAGTGCCACATCCACTCTTTCCTTTAACTTCTCCAGGTACTGTGATTCCACTACCTCCCTGGGCTGCCTAGTCCTGTGTCTCATCATCCAAACTAAACCTCCCGTGGCACAGCTTAAGACTCTTATTACCGGGTTGCGGAGGAGCAGAGCCTGACCCCCACCTGGCTGCAACCTCCTGTCTAGGAATTGTAAAGAGAAATAGGGTCCATCCCGGGCCTTCTTTTCCCGGGATGAGTCCCCCCAGCTCCTCCTCATCACTTGTGCTCCAGACCCTTCCCCAGCTCCGCTGCCTTGCTCTCGACTCGCTCCAGCCCCTCTGTGTCCTCCTCGGAAAGAGAGGCCCAGGACTGGACACATCACTCGAGGGGAGAAGCACAAGACGCCACATCCTGTTACGTTTTCACCCAAAACTGGGTTTCTACAAGCGGGGATAAGTTTCCACGCGCCAGGGAGGCCTCGTCAGCCCCGCGGCGGGAGCACTGCATCCTTGATCCCGGGGCCCTTCCCCGCCACCGCCGAGGCGCCTCCTTCCCGTGGGCCCCGCTTCCCGCGGCGCCTCCGCGTCGTTGTTTGAACCCGAAACGGAAATAGGACCGCGGAGCCGCCGGGGGAGAAACGGAAACAAAACACGGGCCGGGCCGCGCTCACCCGCTGCCACTGTCCGTCCGTCCGTCCGCCCGCCGCACCGACACGTCCCACCGTCCGTCCGCGTCCGGGAACTGCCCCAGCTCCGGGTCCAGGACCGGCTCCGGGAGCGGGTCCAGGAGCGGGCTGCGCCAGGCTCCGGGCGGCGCGCAGGCCCAGCGCGGGGAAAGCGCGCGACACCGCCGCGCCCCCGCACGAACTACGGCTCCCAGCGGCCCCCGCGCGGGAACTACGGCTCCCAGCGGCCCCCGCGGCTCCGGAAGGCCCAGAGGCGCTTCCCCTCGCTTGGAGGTGGCTGAGTGCGGGCACGGTGGGTGCTGCGCAGTCCCGGGGCTATTCCCGCGCTACTCCAGATCCCGGCGGGCGCTGAGCGGGGTCCGGACGGTGTGTGGGGATGGGGGAGCCCCGGGTGTGCGCGGGACGGGGGGGCTGGGGTGGTGGTTCCCGGCGCGCACCGCGAGGGCGGCGGGGCCGTGCCAAGGTGACTCTAGGGAGCTTTGCTGGGTTGAAATTGTCACCTTTTTTTCTACTTAAACAAGGCGAAAAGCGGATTTCACTGTTTGTGTGGGTTGTTCTGTCGCGGCTCTGTACCGCCCGTGGGATCACGGTGCCCTGGGTTCAATGACGGCTGTCATTTCCCCTCCCCCCCATTCTCTTTTAAATAACCTTTGAATACCTCTCTGCTTTAAAGTTCAGCTCCAAAGTACATTTTTCTTTCTTCTTTAGGGATCTATCTTAGTAATATCTTAATAAAGTAAATATCTTTTAAATACTTTATGATTTCAGCTCCAAGCTATTTTTTTCCTCTGCTTTTTAAAATGCATTTATTGCATCGCTGTGACTAATTCTTTATTCCTGCTTTGATGTTTTATTAATGGTTAAAGCAGCGGTGCCATCATGATCCTGCGGCAGATCTTGAGGTTTTCCTCCCTGTTCCGCGCCGCTGTGTCCCTTCACGTGCGCAGGAACATCGGGCTCTCTGCCATTGTCTTCAACAAGACAAAAGAACTCGACCCGGTTCAGAAGCTCTTCTTGGACAAGATCAGAGAGTACAACACCAAGAGCAAGTAAGTAAAGGAATTTGTCTTAAGGAGGGAGCTGATGGCAAAAGGGGAAAACCTGTTTTTGACAGTTTGATAGTTTTGTAGGCTGGTCTGTAAATATTTAAGGTGTGCTTTCCTGCAACACTCAGTGATGGTTTCGCTAGTGGGAAAGCTATTTCTTGCATATCTATTTAAAAATACCATTTTTTTCCCTTAAAAAAGAAAAAATCTGATGTCATTCTTCTTGAGCAGTTAAGGCACACAGTTAAGTTCTTTTGCACACTACGTGAATGTTATTTTTTTTTCCATCTACATGCTCTGTAAATAAGGGGGAAAAAAGCCAAACAAACCCTGTCTTTCTTTTTGTTTTTTTTTTGACCGGGGAAAACAGTTATTTTGTAATTTTCTTTCCAGAAGCCGAATGGAGATAGCCTCCAAAAGCAATTGAGAATTAATGGAATTATTAAATGGTTCATTTAGGATCTTCAGTTAATAAGCAGTTCCTTCATATGGAATCTTAGATTCTTGTAATATTTGAAAGAACTACTGTCCAGGAAAATAAAACTAGTAATTCTGTGTAACTTATTGGGAAATATTCCTGGGAAGGAATAAGATGCTTCTTAGCTCTACTGGTGGAAGATGTGTGTATCCTTACCTACAAACCCATCTGTGGGAGGTATAGGAGGCAGATGTTTGGAGGTTTTACCGATTCTAAGCACGGAGCCTGTGCTCTTACAACTGAGTGCTAACAATCTAAAGAGTTACTATTTTAGTTATCTGATGTTTGAATCCCAAGAAGCTCCTGTTGTGGTGTTTTTCGCTTCTTTAGCATTCAAAATGTGTTCTCTTGGCAAGAACAGTTAAGGTTTACTAATTGAGTTAACTAAATCAGAGATAGAAGAGGTGCAAATCACAATTTTGTTAGGAATTCACACCTGGGACAAAGAAAATTAAAAGCCCTGAGAGTCCCATACTCATCAGTGTTTTTGCCTCATAAGACCACCTTCTGTCTCAAAAGGCTTGGATTTTCATCCCTGATAGTTGCATTATCATCACTGATAGCAGAAAACCTTTACCCTGAGAATCTTGTTTGTGTGTAAGGTAAGGACTAAGGTGTCATATCTTGAGTTTGGCAAATATTTTAAGCTATTTCCTTTGGTTGGTTGTTGAAAAGGTTTTAATTCGTAAATGGGCTTGAAAATGTAGAATTTTCCACGTGAAATGTTAGAACTGAGTTCTTAATTACAACTTTTATTAATGTTTATTAGGCAAGCTGGAGGGCCTGTTGATGCAGGACCCGAATTTCAAAAAGACCTTAATGAATCCCTTGCAAGACTCCAGCGAGCGTATGGTGAGGGAGATCTCACAAAGTTTCCAGAATTTAAATTTGAGGGTGAGTTAACAATCTTACTGAATTCTAATTGCAAGTAGAGACATGTTCACTCACAGGTTTTTTTTAAATTCCCCTTCAGTTTATATTTGTACCATTAATTTTGTGTAAAATGCCTTCTGGGAATCTTATGCTTTTGCACAGTTAACGTCTGTTATTCCATGTGATTCCTATTTTGATTGTTTGCCTTTTCTAGCAGAGGTGTGGTCTTCCTTATACTAATGATTAACAAAACTTGCAGTCAGATTTGGCTATCTTAATTGTCCTTCAGACACCCTAAAGAAAGAGCTCAAACAGAAATAACCTAGGGTCTGTATTTTTCTCACCTTGCCAAAGAGATCAGCAGACTATAATGTGAGTATCAGTTAGTCTTATCATCCAAACTGTGACTTTCTTGCTTTTGTAAGCTCCTCTGGAAAGCCACTGATTTCAGAAAATGAACATAGGACTTAACTTTCTTATTTATGAGTATTTTGTGGCTAAATTATATTAAACCTTTTTCTTCAGCTATTTGGATATGACTTCTGTTTAACTGCTCTAAGTTTGTTTTAGCATGGAATGAAAAGGGGAGACAGCATGAGGCTTGGCAGGTATCTGGCAGCCAGCCAAGGCCAAGCAACCATAATCAACAACTTGTAGTTCTGATGAACTGTCTCAGAGTTGTAATTTAGAGTAGGAACACACCTGAAAACGTTTTGGCAAGAATATCTCTGAGGCTTAGCCTTTATACATAACTCCCACAAGGTGAAAAAGACCTGTCTCCAGCCTAGTTACTGTTTACTGCTGCACACATTTTATCAGTAAGTGGGGGTGTAGACTGCAGTGCACTGCTTTAGCCTGCCAACATCGTAGTTTTCTTTGAATTACAAATTAATTGTGGTATTTGAAGATGAAATAAAGATAAGAATAATTTTAATAGGAATTTCCTCTCTCCTGTTCCTCCTGTAGAGCCCAAGTTTGAGGAGACTGCGAAGTGATCTCTGCAGCTTGTAGACTGAACAGAAGTGTACAGCCATGGAGTTGCTGAACATTGCACCAGTTGTAATTTAATAAATGCTTCAGTTTGATTTCAGTGGTGTGAAGAAGCTCTTAACTGCATGGTGAGGGTAGCTAGCCGTGATCAACTCTGACACGGCAGAGGCAGCTGAGTAGTGCTGCTCAATGTTAGCTGCAGAATTCCTTTGTGTGCTGTGTTTTAATGCTTAGATATTATAACACTCGTAATGATATACAGGAAGGAACTATTTGTTCTGTTAAGTTTATCCAAAAAGCTTCAGAAAAAAAACTTCATGAGCCTTGAGCCTTAAGCCTGTAGCAAAGCCCTACACTAGTGATGGAGCTGCACAGCCAAAAGCATGGGCACAAATGCCCTAATTCTATACTGCATCAATGAACACAAAGGTGATGAAGTTAATCTTCCAGAAGAAACAGAAATCTGCCAAAGAGGTTGTAAGGTGTGAATTTCTCAGCTATTGACACAAACACTTCAGCATCTGAGGAGCTGTTTATTTATAATAATAATTATCTGAGAAACTACATAAACGCTTCGACAGTTAGAGTCTACATAATACAGTTTGAATTGTATTGACATGATTTTTCTTCAGAATGAAACTATATATGCAGTCTACAGAGAGAGACTTCCACATTAAACACTAAAATGCTGCTTGAGCCTTAATTACAGGAAGATTTATTTTTTCGGCATAGTCAGCATACTTCTGCACAGCTACACACCTTGAAATTGTATCAGATTTGCCAAAATCATCTCTTAAGTCCTAGTAAATCACAATTGCAGGAGAAATTGAGCCCCTGACAACGGCTGAGACACAAGTAGTGAGGTCATCTATGAAGGTTATTTGAGTACATTGTTCTAAGCTGCAAGAGTGAATCTTGTATTGCTGCATGTACAGAAAAACAAAAGGAGAAGCTTTCACAGAACTAAATTGAATATATAAGTTAATTTGTCTTTTAAGTTTTTTTGGGGGTTGTTTTTTTTGAAAGGCCATTACAGCTAGGTTGACTGAATATTGGCAGTTTCTACTTTGAGCATGTAACACATGGAAACAATATTTACAGAGCAGAGGTCAAAAGATCCCTTGGTGTTTGGTTTAACCCCAGCTGGCAACTAAGCATCCCATAGCCTCTGGCTCATTCCATGTCCCCTCCCCCTACTGTAGCAAAGGGAATTGGAAATAAAACTCAGGGGTTGAGATAAAGCAGTTAAATAATTGAACCAAAGTAATAATAAGGGAAGGAGAGAGAGAGAACCTGAGAAGCACAAGTGATGCACAGAACAAGTGTTCATCACTGCTTGCTGACTGATGCCCAGCCTGTTCCCCAGCAGCAAATGGTCCCTCCCAGCCAACTTCCCCAGTTTATATACTAGGTATGATGTTATATATCCCTTTGGCCAGTTTAGGTTGGGGTCCTGGCCCTGTTCCCTCATGGCCTGAGCACCTCACTGGCAGAGCATCAGACACTGAAAAGTCTGACTCAGGTAAGTACTGCTGAGCAACAACTGAAACACTAGTGTGTATTGACATTATTCTCATACTAATTTTAAAAAAATTACTAATTTTAAAAAAATTACTAATTTAAAAAAACAGCTCTGTGTCAGCTACTAGGAAGAAAATTAACTCCCAGCTGAAACCCGGAAAGTATCAACTGCTTATTCCATATCATTTATGTCATGCCAGAGCCACGCTTTCTGATACACCACCACCTTTCCTGTCCTTTTATAGATGCACACACAGATGCCAGTTCCTTTATCTCTGACAATCCCCATAGAAGTCTACTGAATTCATTTAGTCCATGACTTGGCTTATGATAATCAGAACTTATGGCTGTCACAAAGAGTCTTTCAGAGCAGGAAAGAGGGTGTCTGGTTTTGGATTGTTGCATGTTGAAACCAGTTCTGATTCCGTCATTGCTCTGCTTGTCCAGTTACATCAAAGTTCATTCTTATTGTGCCAGTTGGAGGGGAGTGGGGTCCAGATCCCCAAAGCTGGAGGGGTGGAGACAGGCACCATGAGGTGCCTGGTACAATGGTGGGCACACAGCTGACATAGAAGTGCTAATACACAGCATTATACAGCAATTAACATCACACAATTCACTGGCTATTCAAATCCACTCTGCACAAACCACTCGTCCATCCTCCCATCTTACCAAGTGTTCCCAGGTCCTTGTGCAAGAACAATCCCACAGATGAGTTTGCCTTTGCCCAAGGCAGGAATAACCCAGACTCTTCTGCAGCACATTTTTCATGTGCCCTACAGGAGCTTTATTCCCTTCTACAGTAAAAGTTTTGATTGGGCAGGGCCAGCCCACTTGGCAGGTCTTGGCTGACTCACCAGGTGGCCTTTACCACCTGAAGATTCCTCCTGCCCATTGCTCTCAGTGTAGTCTAACAGTCCATTGGATCATTTGGTTTTCTCAGCTGATATGATACAATATACCTGCTAAGTGCCATGTTCTTTGGCCCAAGTGTCTGCGAGGGTTTTCCAAGTATTTCTAGTTTAATTTCTTCACAGGCACCATGTTGCTCAGGCCCCATGTGAAATCATTCTTCTGAGTCACTTGATAAAGAGGGCTTACAATCAGACTGGTTTGGAGTATGTATTTTCAAAAAACCCACAACATCTAAAAGAGCTTACTTTTTGAAGAAATGGATTAGAATCTTTCCATAGGATCAGGAGTAAATTCAGCCCTTCCACTCTGCCTGGGAAACCATCCCCTGGAGATAGGAGTAGCAGCTTTCCTGGAAGAACCCCCATTTGGGATTGTTAACTTACAATTCTTATACCCATGTCTCTAGGGTCAAGGTAGGTCTTCCATCCAAATTCTTCATGCCCCCTCTGTGGTCTCTCAGTAAACCCAAAGGGTATCCCATGGTGTGTACCTTCCAAATCCTCCCTCTTGAGCCGACGGTTACTGTCATTAGCATGGGACTGTAGAGGTGGGCAATAGAACATATCTTCTTTGAACTGCTGAAACTCCTTGGACAGTTTATCTGATACTTCCTCCACAGTTGAGATGAGAGAAGTAGAGAGGGTGTCTTCAAATTCCCAGAGATTGCAAGCCACTGCATCCACAGATCACGGTGGTGTGATGTCCTTCCAGATTAACATTGCCAGTGGGTTGGTGTGTGCTCTTGGTACATTCTACAAACTTCCACCACATGGGTCATGTGCAGAGGAATTGGTCTGGATCTGTGGTGAACCTTGTATTGTCCAGGTAGATAAAAATAAATAATCTCTAGCACAGCTAATTCCCTCAAGTATTGGCTATCTTTCCACTTGCATGGTGACATGTAACATCATTCTTGTTGGAAGGATACCTTTCCTTCGGGCTTGACAGGAGTTGCTTCCAGCTGCTGAGGACTTGTACCTCTCTTACAATCCCCTTGCCAATGCCTGCTTTCTTAGAAAGTGATTTCTACCTTCTGATTCCAATCCATTAGCCCCATTATCCCAGCATCAGAGCAGCCAGGTGGTAGTATGCTCATCAGGACAACAGCTGAAGTATTTATGTATGTCCCACAGCTCACTCAGGAATAAGGACTGAGTGGCTGCCTCTTGCTGGCCTGTCACTGAAGTTTGTGTAGGCACAGTATGTGTTGGTGGGGTTTTGGTAGCCACAGATTGTTTCTTAACACTAAAGAAGGCCTGAACCATATGCAACGACATACTGATTGTTACCAAAAGGACCAGGTTGGTTTCAAGAGTAGTCACAGGATATGCAAAGTCTTTAAAATTCTCAAGGGCTACTGTAATCATCCTGGAGGGGAAGGAAGGTGTTTTTCCCATGGGTTGGCTCTCTGAGGGTAAAAGGCAGTAGATGCAACTGGGGATAGTTTCCACCAGATGGCTCCCAAAGGACGGAGGGGACACACACCAGGTAGGCTCATGACCAGCCATTCTATCATGTCATATCAAGCCAGTACAACGCAGAACAACACAGTGATAATCTTAGCCCAGGCCTAAAGCACATAAATCAATATGGTGAGCAGCAACTATTAAACTAATACAATGAAGGCTTATAACAAACCTGTTTTAACATGCTCTAGTCAGATCTGTTTTTATCTCAACCTTTTAAGTCCCACATTGGGTGCTAAAAAGGACTGCCAGCAGCTCATCCCCATGTGGCTGCTTGCTCACTGTCCCCACCCCAGCCCAGTAGGAGAACTGGGAAAGAAAATTAAAACCGGTGGGTTGAGAGAACAACAGTTTAATAATTGAAACAAAATAAAATAAGATACTAAGAATATTAATGATGATAATAACAGCAATAGAGAGAGAGAGAAAAGGGAGAGAGAGGAGTAAAGCCCAAGAAAGACAAATGATGCACCACAGTTTTTCACCACCCACTGACCAATGCCCAGCCTGTCCCCCAGCAGCAGTTGACTCCTCCTGGCCAACTTCCCCAATTTAAATACTGTATGATGTTCTGGTGTGGAGGTGGTCACCAAGCACCACACTTGTTTGAGTTCCAGAAGTGTTTGGACAACGTTCTCAGGCACATGGTGTGATTTTTGGGGTGTCCTGTGCAGGGCCAGGGGTTGGACTTCATGATCCTGATGGGTCCCTTCCAACTCAGTTTATTCTATGATTCTGTGATTCTATGCATATCCCTTAGGATGGCTCAGATCAGCTGTCCCAGCTGTGCTCTGTTCTTTTACACCTCCTCACTGGAAGACCATGGGAATCTGAGGACTCTTTGACTTGGAGTAAGCACTACTCAGCAGCAACTGAAACATCAGTGTGTTATCAATTTTATTCTCATATTAAATCCAAAACACAGCTACTATGAAGAAAATTATCCCAGCTGAAACCAGGACACTGATACTTTTGTATAACAAGTAGTCATTTGATGTCCCTCACAGAGGCTGAAATCTTCTAAATAACAAAGGACTTGGTATGCTTGAAATCCTAAATGAAGCAAAAAACGTTACATTAATAATAGTTCAAATATTTTTAAGCAGGTTAATACTTAGTGCACATTTCAGACGAAACTAAGGCATTGAGCTTGACAAGAAATGTGTCTGATGCACTGTTAGTAAATGTTTATTCTTTT